CCCCCCCAGGAGGCCCTGGAGAGGTTCTGTGACTCCCTGGAGCAGATGATGGACAGCCACGAGGTCAGGCCACGCCCCCTTTCCCTGAGACCACGCCCCTTCCATAAGACCACGCCCCTTTCCATAGGGACAGACCCCTTTCCACTGTGACCACGCCCCCCTCCACTGTGACCACACCCCTTCAATGGCCGCAAAGCTGTGACCACGCCCCCTCCCATGCTCCTCCCCTTTAAGCCCCGCCCCCACCTGGCCCCGCCCAACCTCCCATTTGGTCCCGCCCATCTCCGTGACCACGCCCCCAGCACATAAACCCCGCCCTCTTCCTTCAGGCCACACCCCTTATCTCCAAGCCACACCCCCTTCCCAGCTGTCTCACCTGGCCCCGCCCCTTCACCTGCCGGGCCACGCCCTCTGTGCCTGGCCATGCCCTTTCGGTCAAACCACACCCTCTTCCTTGACCACACCCCTTCCCTCTAAGCTCCACCCCTTCCCCCAAGCCCCTCCCCATCCCTTTGCATCCTGACCACACCCTTTCGGACCTGACCACGCCCCTTTCTGTCACTGTCACGCCCCTTTCTGAGCTGACCACACCCCTTTCTATCACAGCCACGCCCCTTTCTGTTATGTCCACACCCTTTCTGACCTGACCATGCCCCATTCTTGTCTGGCCACGCCCATTCTGGCCTGACCACGCCCCTTTTCTTGCTTGTCCCCGCCCCCAGGAGCTGCGGAGCTGCACCCAGAGCGCCCTGAGGAGGCACCTCCAGCCCCTGCTCCGGGAGTGAGTTGGGACAGGGGGGTCCAGGAGGGTCTTGGGGGGTCCCAGAGGGGTCCCGGGGGGTCAGGGTGGGGGATAACCCCCAATTTTGGGGTTATTTTAGGGGTCTGCAGGGTCTGGGTGGGCTCTGGGGGTCTCAAGGTGGGGTTTAACCCCATAATTTTGGGTTATTTTTGGGTTATTTTAGGGGTCTCCATAGTCTGGGTGGGCTCTGGGGGTCTCAAGGTGGGGTTTAACCCCCAATTTTGGGTTATTTTTGGGTTATTTTAGGGGTCTGTGGGGTCTGAGTGGGCTCTGGGGGTCTCAGTACCCCCAATTTTGGGTTATTTTTGGGTTATTTAAGGGGTCTGCAGGGTCTGGGTAGGCTCTGGGGGTCTCAGTGTCCCCAGTTGTGGGTTATTTTTGGGTTGTTTTAGGGGTCTCCGGGGTCTGGGTGGGCCCTGGGGGTCTCAGTATTTGGGATAACCCCCAATTTTGGGTTATTTTGGGGTTATTTTTGGGTCATTCCCAGGGGTCTCCGTGGTCTCCATTCCCTGGGTCGGGCCCTGCAGGGTCTGGGTGGGCTCTGGGGGTCTCAGTTTTTGGGATAACCCCCAATTTTGGGTTATTTTTGGGGTTATTTCAGGGCTCTCCGGGATCTGTGTGGGCCCTGGGGGTCTCAGTATTTGGGATAAACCCCAATTTTGGGTTGATTTTGGGTTATTTTGGGGTTATTTCAGGGGTCTCTGGAGTCTGTGTGGGCTCTGGGGGTCTCAATATTTGGGATAACCCCCAATTTTGGGTTATTTTGGGTTATTTTTGGGTTATTTTGGGGTCATTCCCAGGGGTCTCCGAGGTCTCCGTTCCCTGGGCCGGGAGCGGGCGCGGGCGCAGGACGCCCTGCAGGGGG